ATAACACACTTAAACATAATTCTGTCATTCTAGGGGTTAAAAGTACCTCAAAAGGTAGACCAGCATAAACGTTTACAAGGCACAGGGATGACACGGGTCAGTGGTGGCGAACCTATGGCGCACATGTCACAGCAGACACACAAGGGCTCTGCTGGAACATGAGCCAAGTTGCCCCAGCGTCGTCCCAGCAGCTGAGCACTGGACTACAGCACACATGGGGCAGTGCTGGCACTTTAAAATAAATAACTGGAGGGGCTGGGGATTTAGCTCAGCAGCACAGCGCCTGCCTGGCAAGTGCAAGGTCGTGAGTTCGATTCCCGGTACCAAAGAAAAACCAAAAACAAAAATAAATAACTGGGTTTGGGGTTGCAGTTTGGGCATTTGGTCTCTGAAAGGTTTGCCATCACTGAATATACTAATACCATAATTTTATAGCTTAACACTGTATATATTGAAGTTTATCTTATCAGTATGATTGCTGGCATAAACGAATCTGAAGTACAGCTCCTATCTTTAGATCTACTAAGAAGATGCTGTAGGTTACCAGGAAAAGAAAGATTATAGCACAGAAAGAAGCCTTCTACGGTGAATACCTATAAAATTAGTATAGACGGGAGATCCATTTGTCTGCAAGTCTAAGGCATTAACTCTGCCTAGAACAAAGGAAGGTGGAAGATAACTACCAGAGGTCCTTTCTAGCCCCAATGCTGTCTAGCCACACTGAGTGATCAGTGTTAAAATGATCTACACATAAAAGAATACAGAGATAGTCACTTCTTCCACAGATTTGACAAAAGTAAGATTTTACACTTTACATAGGAATTTAATATATTTATCATGCTGTTAAAGGCTTGCTACATTAAATACCATAAATAACGAATAAATGATTTAGTATAGGGAACAATTAAGCATTATGTATGCCCTTAAAACAGCAATCTTACAAGTGAGCACCTGAATACTTATACAAATATATTGACTTGAAAAACTCATCTTCTATACTGTTTCTCCCTACTGTTAAAAGGATTTTCAAAACTTAAGACAAACTATCATTAGTTAGTTTTAAATTATCTTTAAATTTCACAACAGAATCATTCAAATGGTTCCATGAAAAGAAAAGTATTTCTAAAATGATACTGTTGAGTACAAAGAAACCTTCTACTATCTGTGTAAGCCTTGCTGGGTTTGACACAGATCACACTGAATGGGGGTCTGGGCACAAAATCTATCTTTTTTTTTTTTTCCCCACTTTCTCAGTGAATGGCGCAAATATCAACCCTGTTGACCTGGCAAAACCTCTAAATTCCACCCCCACTTCATACTCAGTCAATTATCAGTATCTACTGATGATGTCTTCTTGTTTTGTTGTTGAGACAGGATCTCACCATGTAGCAGAGGCTGGCCTCAAACTTTTGGCAATCCTTCTGCCTCAGCCTCCCAAGTGCTAGGATGACATGTGTGTGCTACCCCTCAGGTGAACTGTACCATCCTAATACTTCTTGAATTACTCCTTTCTTTCCAGTTAAATTGTGGTACATCCACTTGGTTGTCTTAGATCACCAATGTCATTAAACTGCATTAAAAGTGATGTTATCTCCAATGGATTCTCTTCCCATAGATTTGTTCTTTCCTATCCTTTTCCCACACAGCTATAGTTATTCTTCTAAAGCACAAATCTGATCATTTTAGTCCACTCCACTATATCTAATTGATAAGACCCCTTAGAATAAGTTACAAACTATGAACTCTGACCTTTATGTGCTCTCACTGATCTTACTGCTCTCACTGATCTCTGACCTAGCCTCAGAATTTCTCCCTAATACTATGCTGCAACTCTGGTGACCTCCTTTTGGTCCCCCAAATATGTCATTTCCAGCTAATCTCCATGAGCTTGCACAAACACTTTCATGTTAAGTTTTTTTTTGTTTTTTTTTTTGGTTTTTCTCCGGTACCGGGAACCGAACTCATGACCTTGCGCTTGCCAGGCAGGTGCTTTTGCCACTGAGCTAAATCCCCAGCCCCTTGCACAAACACTTTCATATGCCTGCATTATATTCCACCAACCTCACTCCCTTCCTAGATTGCTTCCTCTGTCTTCAGCTACCGGCCTACACCTTACTTGTTCAGTCCTTGGGGTGCTTTTCCTGTGTATATTTTCCACCATGCTTCCATAGCATTCTCCTTTTTGAAGTATAACATGTACTCTAGTTGAATATTTACTTCACTGCAATCTCATAAAAGGTTGCAAGTTCCTCTAGAGATAGACACTGCTATTTTTACCCTGCCTCTCTAGCACCTTGCCACATAATAGGAATTCAATAAATATCAACTGAGATAATCAGGAAATTAGTCAAAGAGAAAGAAGCCTCAACACTAGCGTGCACACGGTACAATACAGTAACCAGATTATAATATGTGGTATTTCAACTTCATTTACAAACTGTTTTGGGAGAACTCAGAAACACATGTTCTAACACAAATGGTATTAAATGCAGCCTATAACCAGTTAGCTCCTGCAAAGCCTATTTAATATATAGCATAGGTAAACTATATTATTTATAGGCATTAACTCTGCCTAGAACAGAGACTAACTATGGACTCTGCTGGATTGCAGTAAAACTGGACTCTTAACTGCTGGATTGCAGTAAAATTTGGGGAAAGTGTATGAAGATTTCCAGTTTGGTAATGCCAGGAACTAATTATTTCTGGCTGTAGCCTAGGAATAGAAACACACAGCTCCAATTTACACAGGAGGTTGAAGACAGAGAATACTAGGATGGAATGAAAAAAATGACTAAAACCTCCAGGCAACTATGTGGAAGAGATCAGCCTTGTACAGCCTTTTATGACCAATGTTCCATCTTTGTAACATCCACAGCAATAGAACATAATACAATTTTTTTATCTTCAATACAATTTCTATCTACTAGTTGGATGTGGTGGCACATCCCTGTAATCCCAGCACTTAGGAGGCTGAGGCAGGAGGATTACTGCAGGTTTGAGGTCAACCTGGGCTACAAGGGAGTTCATGACCAGTCTGAACTATAAAGGAAGAGCTTGTCTAAAACAAAAACCAAACAATTTTTATCTTCAATACAATTTTTATCTTATCATTTTTTACTTGTCTTTGAAAATTTCTAGGTATCATATAAATTTCATGCAAAAATTTAAACAACTGCAGTCCTCTGTATAACTGGTTAATTTTCTAGAACCTTCTCCAACTTGAAGACTCTCCATTCCTCATCTCCATTCCTCAAGGATACTTGGAATTAAATGGCAGCTTCCTACCTACCACAGACAAGAAATTATCTGTAAGGTTCTTTTCCTTTAAGGAAGCATTCTGCACTCAGTATTAAGTACAAAGAAGTTAAATAAGAAAGCAAGCAACCAAGCAAAGAAAAAAAAAAAAAAGATAGTTATTAACTCCAGGAGAAACAATAGCTGTCAACAAAAAGAAATGTAATTATAGCTCAAGGATGAAATGTTTTACATAATCATTACACTGTAAATAATGAATGCTGATCAAACCAAAACTTATGATTAAACTAAAAATCAGATATAGGAAAATAGAACACAGGGAACATATTGTAAATACCTTCTTCCAACTTGTCTTGCATTTTCATAAGTGTATTTTTTTTTTTTTTATCACCATAGAGGTTTTTGTTTGTTTTTTGTTTTTGGAGTACTTGGGAATGAATTTAAGGCTTTTACACTGAGCTACATCTCCAGGCCCCATTTTTATATTTTATTTTGAGAATAGATCTAAGTTGCCCAGGCGAGGCTCAAACTTGGGACCCTCCTGCCTCAGACTCCCAGAATACTCGGACTGCAGGTGTGCACCACCAGGCCTGACATACACCATACTTTTTTTTTTTTTTTTTAACATAATTTAAAAAATTTGAATCACATTTTTTTCCTTTAGAATTAATTTCTGTTTTTTGAGACAGGATCTCACTATGTAGTGCAGGCTGGCCTTGAACTCATGGCGATCCTCCTGCCTCAGCCTCATGAGTGCTGGGGTTACAGGCATGTGCACCATGTCTGGCAATTAATGCTTTTTTATTCTATGCTAAAATGGCTCTACCTACAGGATGGAGATATTTTTATGTATATAGGCTACTAAAAGTTTTAAAAGTTTAGGTTTTATATTTAAGTTCATGACCGATTTTAAGTTAAATTTTTATGTATGGTGGGAAATAAAGGTCAAGACTCTTTTTTATCCTTTCAATTGTTCTAGCACCATTTGTTGAAAAGACTATGATTTCCCCCACTGAATTATCTTGTCTTCTTTCTTGACAGAGCAATTACAAATTTCTGGACTGTTTTTTTTTTGTTCATTAATCTATATATCTATCTTTATGCCAATACAACAAAGTTTTGACTTTATAACTGTATATAAGCAATTACATTATGTAGTCTGAGAATTCCAATTTTGCTCAAAACTGTGGACTGCTTGGCTATTGTAAGTCCTCTGCACTGCTATGTACATTTTATATTCAGGTTATCAAGTATAACAAAAGATTATAGATTCTGATTAGCATTATGTTAGACACATAAATTAATCTAGAGAGAACTGGTATCTTAACACTATTAACTCTTCTGATTCATACTAACATTGTAATAATATTAAATCTTCTGACTCATAAGCATGATGTATCGTGTCATTTAAGTTTGCTTTACTTTGCCTAAACAATGTTTTTTAGTTTTTAGTGCAGATATTTTAACTTTACCCTAAATTAACTTGCATTTTCCTTTTTTTGTCTTTTTTGAGACAGGGTCTTGCTATGCAGTTCACACTGGCCTTGAGCTCACTTTGTAGCCCAGGCTGGTCTCAAACAATCCTCCTGCCTCAGCTCCCGAGTGCTGGGATTACAGTTGTGCACCACCACGCCCAGCCTTTAGCTTGCATTTTTCTTTATGCTATTGTAAATTATAGTCTTAAATTTCAATTTCCAATTTTTTATTGTTAGTATATGGAACAAGAAATGATTCTGTTTACTGACCATGAATCTTGTGACTTTAATGAATTCATTCATTACTTCAAGTAGCTTGAAGCGTTTTTTGATTTTCTGTGCAGATCGCAATGTTATCTGTAAATATGGACAGTTTTAGTTACTGTTTTTCAATCTGTATGTCTTTTACTTCTTTTTCTAGCCTTATTGTAGAGCTAAGACCTCCACAACAATGTAAAACAGCAGTGATAAAAGACTATCTTGTCGGGGCTGGGGATTTAACTTAGTGGCACAGGGCTTGCCTGGCAAGCACAACGTCGTGAGTTCGATTCCTGGTACCGGGAAAAAAAAAAAAAGACTATCTTGTCTTGTTCCAAATCTTACAGAACAGAATTTACATTCCATTTGCTATTATTTTGTGAAAGATTTTCACATTCAAGGATACTGATCTGCAGGTTTGTCATGACGATTCTGTCTGGTTTTGGTAGCAGCATAATTCTGGGAGCTATTCTTTCCTATCTTCTAAAAATGCTGTAGAACTGGTTTATTTTTACATTAAACGCTTGATACACTTTAGCAGTGAAACTAGGGAAGAATCTTGATATCTCTACCTATAATTTTGTATTTATTGATATCTAGTTTTAGTTCTATAAATTTTGTCTCACAAAATTTCAAGTTTTATTCTTTGAAATACATACTTAGGACTATCACCTACATATTGTGTATATATACACACTATATATTGTATTTTTTTTGAGACAGGGTCTCGCTATGCAGTTCAGGCTGACCACAAACTCATTATGTAGGCAAGGTTGGCCTCAAATTCACGGCGATCCTCCTGCCTCAGCCTCTCAAGTGCTGGGATTACAGGTGTGTGCCACCATACCCGGCTATATATTATATACAAAGTATATAATATATACACTAAATATAGTATTCTTTATCACTGGTAATATTTTTTTGTTCTGAAGTCTACATTATCTGATGCTAATATATCTTTTTCAGTTTTCTTGTGTTATTATATAATGTATATTTCTGTTTTTTAAGTGGTGGGTTTAGACCATCCAAATTTAATGCAATTATTGATATAACTGGATTTAAATTTATCATCATGTTCAATTTGATCTAGTTCTTTGTTCCTTTTTCTTTCTTTTCTGCCTCTTTTTGGATTGAGAATTGTCTTTGTTATTACTTCATTGAGTCTATTATATATACACTAAAAGACATTATTTTAAAATAATTTTAGACACAGGAGGTTGTAAAGGTAACATAAAGACTTCCTGTGTCCTCAATTTTTTCCTCTCTCCCACTCTTTCTTGTTTATTCTCTGAGATAGGGTCTCACTAAGTTGATCAGGCTGGCCTCAAACTTGTAATCTTCCTACCTATTCTCTTGAATAACCGGGGTTAAAGGTATTCACCACTGCATGTGGCTTTTCTTGTCTATTCTTAGCATCTAATGATCATTTCTTATCTAACCACAATAGATTGATAATAACACTAAAATTAAATTGATTTATGATTTTCAATCACTATAACAATTTTGAGATTTGTTCAGTTTGTTACACTTACCAATATGGTTTCTATTGAGTGTTCCATTGTATGAAAATGCTATAATTTTCTTTTGTTGTTTTCAGGGCTTCACACATGCTTAAGGAAGTGCTCTATACAGAGTAGACAAGTCTTCCTCCAATTTGTTTGAAATATGTTTGGTTTGTTTCCAAATATCTGGCTGTCATAAAAAATTTCTGTAAAAGTATATTGTACACCTTTCTTTTCATTTCTCTAGTATAAATATCTAAGACATTCTTTATGGTTATATTTTATCTCTACCATTATCTTTGTTTTATTTTGGTTTTTTTTGCTGTAATTTGAAGCTATTTTTCCACAGTTACACAGCATACATAAGCATATACAATACCAGACACTCAGGTATGCTTGAGAATTCTTCCAGACAAAAGTAAATGTAACCCTATCTTGTCATTCTTCTTACAATTTGAAATAGTTCCCGATGCAGTCCAAACTTCACCTGTTCCTTAAGCCTCTCAAATTTATAGCTAGCGTCTCCACAGTGTCCCTCTACCTGGCGTGGCTCAGTCACTTTCTCATCACCTGACACCCACAACTGAACACAGGGACATTCCCTGGCTCCAATCCAGAAATGGCACATGGAAGGGTCTTTCCACTATTACCTCTGTGACAGTTAACCATGAATGTCAATGCAATTGTCTTGAAAGATGCCTAGAAGATAGTAAATCTGGGTGGGCCTGGATGGGTTGTGAGAGCATGACCTTGGGGACCATACCTGGTCCTTGGTACCTTCCTCTGGTGCTCTTCCCCTGTTCTCTGCTACTTGTTCTATGCCACAAGTAGAGCGGCTTTTCTCCACCATGACTTTCTGCCATGAAATTGCTGCCTTGGGTCCAGAAGACCATGGACTGAAACTCTGAGCCAGACAAGACCCTCCTTCAAGTCTCAGGTGTCAAGTATTATGTTCCAGCAACGGGAAGCTGACTAACCCAATCTCCGATGCTGTTTTTAATGTCAAGTATTCCTATTTCATTGTCTTTACATTTTTCACATAACCTTCAGTAAGTTTCCATCTTTTCATAAATGTTGTTTATCTGTTTTTCTCAGTCCCTTATCTATATCTATTTGAAAGTCTTTTTCTAGTAGCTTTATATTCTGAATCCTATTTGCATGTGGCTTCACTGATTGCTTTTTTTCTCTTGACTATGAATTAGGCTTTTTGGGGTCATTTCACAATTTCTACTGAACAACAGACATTATATGTAGAAGAATAGTGCAGACTAAGTAAATGATATTTACACCTGAAACTGGGCATGCTTCTTTTCAGGGTGACAGTGCAGAGATGTAGGGGCTAAGTGAATAGTTAGTATTAGTTGTGTTTAGATTCTTTTATTACATCTACATGTAGTATATCATGAAATTCTAAGCTGTCCAGCAATACGATGCTTTTACTTTGTTATACTGTGTGCTATGGTTTTTCTGTTTCTCTTGTAACTCTTGGCTTTCAGCATCCTATAAGCTGGCATTATTGAGGGATATATTTTTGCCCTGGTGGAAGACTGATCTTCAAGCTTTCTTAGTGCGAAGTTCATGGTGGGAGCAGGGGAATTTGTGGGTCTCCTGGTGCCGAGTCAGCATAATGCAGACATTTTGCTGCAGATGAACATTACAGGCCCCACTCACAATCAAACCCTGCCTCGTTACTATGGGTGGTCCTGAAGAGGTTCTTCCACCATCTAAAAGTAGTGACAGATCTCTGCTTTGTATCTGTTCAGGTTCCTAACTTCAACAGGGTTTCCTATCCCCTCCTTAGGGAAGATAGCTTTTGTTCCTCACCTACTGTCGTCTCTCATCCATAGCCTAGGTGTGCTGGGAAGTACACAGAAAGCAGTAGGTTTTGAAGAGAGCAGGAAAAAAAATATCTGCAAAAGGCTTTTGTAAGACATAAGGGTTACTAAGGCTAATAGGTACTAACAGAGAAGCAAAAGTTAACTGAAACTTACCATGAAGACTCCATAGAAGTGCATATGGGTTTAAGAGCAATTCTTTGCAAAATCTCCTAGGGGTAAGGAGGTGCTTATAGGTTAACAGTACTGCCTTGCAAAGTCCATGAGACATGCACTACACCTAATAGCTTCACCCATGAGGTTCCATGGCAGCCAGTTAGATCAATTATTCAGCTCCACAGGTTACTACAGTGAATGGGTTTTATAGCTTAAATTATATAAAATGACATCATTAGCCCTATTACACTGCATGAGCAATATTCAAAAAAAACAGCTGATTTAACATACAGGTAGAAAGACAGCTCTAACAGATTACAATAGTTTGCCTAGTTTCCAGCACCCCTTAGATAACACATATAACACATATATGGATATTCCAGCTCCTGTCTATGTAGAATGCCCCCTTGACTTGACAAGAGTTTTAAAACAAAAGTGAGGGGCAGTGGTTTAGGGACATGGTGCTAAATCTACTAGTTTTTCTCAGGGATGACAGGCCTCAGAAGCAGCAGATCCTGGACCGGGGTTTCAAAACTAGGAGAGAGGAGACTGCCTCTGCCCCATCTCCTAACAGCAAGTCTGCCATAACGCCCCCATAAATCAATCACCTTTAAAAGACTCACTTACAAGTTCATGAGGTTCGTGGGGGACATGTAGATCTAAACCATAATAAACAAGCTTCTACGGCATAAGGCTAGACATACAGCACAATGAAACAACAGATTTGAGAAAGAGACCCACATGTATATAACCAACTGATTTTTTATGAAGGTGCTAAGGAAATTTAATGAGGGTTACATAGTCTTTCCAACACAGAACAAATGAAAACCCATATTAAAAAAAAAAAAGAAAGAAAAATTGTTAAACCAGATCAAACCAAACAAATCTTGAACTTCTATCCTTGATTTATACCACATATAAAGTAAAATAAAATAAAACAGTTCATAAAATAGTTCATAAATAAATAGTTCATAGGCTGAGGATGTAGGTAGAACCTTTTTGATGTGATAGAAATCTTCCATAGCTTGTTTGTGGTGGGAGTTATCTAACTGTATACATTTGTCAGGCTTCTTCCAGCTTCACATTTTAAAAGGGCAGATTTCCCTTTATGTAACTTATACCTCAATAATCTGTGCTTTAAAATTTACACTATAAAAAAATATGTCAGATTTAAAAGGGATGACAATCAGTATTTACAAGCTTCTCAGGCTGGCAGCAACATCATGTGATGAACCTAGGCACGTCTATCTAATTAGGACACTAGATAACAGTGAAAGATGATTGACTTAACTGAAAAAGGAAAAACAAAAGATTATTTAGAGTCATCATGTAGTAAAATCATTCAAAAAAGCTGCTAACAAGTTGAATACTTTTTTTAAAGTTGAATACTTATGTAATAAAGATGAACACACACACATATTTTACTCCATCTAAGTACACATGTATACTGAAAATAATATATGGATATTTAAAGTAGTATTTGAATACATCTGCATTTTCCCCTTAAGAGTTATGTTAATAAGCAATAAAAATATGTTGCAGTATATAAGTAATTTACTCAATTAAAACATTAAAATATATTAAAGAATTTATATGAAGACAAACACATGGTGGTCTAACAAGGAATACCTTAGCAATAGCCGTTTGTTTAAATATGCGAGTAATCAATCCCATAACGGTCTCTGTGCCACCTGGATTTGGAGCTCTCATTAATTTTTCCCACTCTTCAAAGCTACTATTTAATTCCTGTATGGGATGAAGAAACATTGTTTAGGAATACAGCATGAAGAACAGAAGAATCAATGCAATTATGAATCAAGTCCTACATTTTTTTTCTTTTCTGTAAAGCAAGATATAAACATACAATTCGTGTAGACACCAATGTGTTCATTTAAAGACATGAAACACAGAGGCCAGTCATATGTTCATGCCAATTACAGAAACCAGTAACAGGCGATGGGTGAAAAGAAAGCCCTTTGTAACATTATGAAGCAAACAATTACAGCTTCTACTTAAGGAGAATTATTTAATAAAATGAAAATAAAAACTTAAACACATAAAAGTATCTTAGTGAAAATGTACACAGTACTGAAGTCTTTTTCATAAAAAGACAATTTTATTCAAAGACACAAAGATTTGGAGAATATTAAAAACAAAATATAATAGTATACTGACTCTCCATTTTATTTTTCCTCTAATGCTAAAATGGTAGATGAAGAAAATTAGATCATTCTTTTAGAAATAACATATTGCTCAAGGTTTACAAAATGCTTTCTTTAAGTTTTCAAGATGTAACAATGAAAATTTCCCTGGTCATCAGAGTTGAGGACATTTTAGAGAATATATAAGAATTGAACTCCCCAAAAGTAAACAGAGATAAGGATTAGGTAAAATAAACTCTTGACTTTGATATGTTGAATTTCACATTCTACGACATAATCACAGAATCACAGGACTTCAAAAACAGGACTCCATCTAAAATGTTCTAGAAGATAGTTAGTCATTCTTCAAAAACTCCCCACAGCGAGAAATAGTTTCCCTTGCTAATTGTTGGGTTTCACACTCTATATATTTTGAATCTTTTCTTTTGAGACAGGGTCTTGTTACGTAGTTCAGGCTGGCCTGGACTCACTGAGTAGCCCAGGCTGGCCTCGAACTTGCAGTCATCCTTCTGCCTCAGCCTCCAGAGTGTCGGGATTACAGGCGTGTGCCACATGCCCATATTTTGAATTCCTAATGCTAAATCTTTATTGCCATTAAAGTACTTTTTTATTTTATTTTGTTTTGCTTTATTTATTTATTTTTTGGGGTACCAGAGATCAAACTCAGGACCTTGCGCTTGCCAGGCAGGCACTACGCCACTGAGTTGTACCCCTGGGCCCCTAAAGTACTTTTTATATCCAGCAGAAATTTTTTTCTCCAATCAGATTTTATTGGTACATTTTAGATATACATAATGATCACACTCATCACAGAGAATTTGTATCTGTGCATGATATAACTTGCTTTTTTCCCCTTCCCCTACCCTTACTTCAAGCAGAAATTTTTAAACTCACTAGGACACCGTATCTGTTCACGTTTGACAGCTATTATTAAATTCTTCCTATTCTTTTCTTAAAATGATACAAAACCAATTCATATGCTCTATTAATTAAAGCTATTTTAAGAAAGTAAATTTTTTTCTGTGAATATAAAATATGAACAATCTTTTCTAGTATAATTTAAAATAAGACTTTCAATCAAATACGGGTTCTCACCTTGGCTGCTGCTGGTGGAAGATCAAATGGAATACGCTGTCTGATTTTAGGGGGTAGCTGGGTTAAAACTTCAGTCTTTAATCTTCTAATCATTATGTCACTTAATAGCTGGTGAAGTTCCTGAAGATTTGATGCCCCTCTACAATCCCACTGAGCCCTTTTACCAAAGTATCTGTTAATACGAAGAAAACATATAACAGAACTGAATGTTAGAGTAAGAAAACAATGTACACAATATGTTCTTCCTTTGAATGATAAGGAGCCATGACACTTTTCATGTTATTTCTTAATGAATGTAAGTTTTTACGAAGTTCAACTTTTAAAATAGTAATGAAAAAGATTAGATACTATTCAACTATGGAAAATGCTAGCGCCTAAACTCTGTTTACACTGAACTAAAAGCAAGGCTTAGATGAACTGAACACTGAATCGGACTAGGCCACTGTTTTTATTTATTTATTTATTTATTTATTTATTTTGGTTTTTCTCCAGTACCGGGAACCGAACTCACGACCTTGCGCTTGCCAGGCAGGCGCTTTTGCCGCTGAGCTAAATCCCCAGCCCCAGGCCACTGTTTTTAAATGGAGGCCATACTGGCATTCAGTTGGGCTCACACATGACAGTGTGTTTAGCAGATGTAGCCCTATGAAGATGTCTTAGTTACTTTTCTCTTGTTGCTGAGACAAAATACCTGACACCCAAAGTTAAAAGGGGGAAAGGTTTATTTAGCTCACAGTCTGTAGAGGTTTCAGTCCACAATCAGCTGGTTCCAAGGCAAGGTGGCACAGTAGCCAGGTACCACAAAGGTGAAACCGTTGTGGTGGGCAGAAGGTAACACAGTAACAAGGGATGACCACAGCTCTTTCTGTCCCTCATATCTTATGTGGGCTACTTAGGGCAGGCAGCACACATACCATTAATCCTAGTGCCACTGATCTTAGCATTACACCATGAATTAATCACATACCCTAGATACAGTCTCCTCTGAAAAAGCCCCACCTATATGACCACCTGAGGCTTTGGGAGGACATCAAAACACAAACTATAACAGCAGGTATGAACTGTCAGCACATTAGCCACTCATTATAACTACCAAAACTACCTCAAACATTTTCCATATGAGATACTGTCTCCAATCGACTTGTTAAGTATGCCAGATTGATTATTTGGTTTTTTCTTGTTCCTTTGAAACCACTGGATTGATACCAATAATTTTTTTTTAAAGTCATAGATCCACTAGGAAGGAGAAAGAGAGAGGAGATACCAGAGGATAAGTGACTTCAAGAAATACTGAGAAGGTACAATACAGATGGAAAAGTGATGACTGATTTGACAAAAGAAATTTATATCTTAAAATGCTTGTACTTAGGTAACTTATCCTCTAGACCTCTGAGAAAGTAAGGAATTGAAAAGTCCAGTAATGTGAGCAGGTATTAAAACAAGGTCTGAAATCTAGTGGACCAATTGAATTTACACAGCAGGAGAACCTGTTGCATTAACATTCCCCATCATCATGATAACTAAAATACTACTTTCCCAAATTCTCAATAATCTTTTAGGGACTTATGTTTATTACTCACCATTGAAAATAGCTGTTAGAAAGTAATTAGCAAAGGAAAATTCCTGTTAGGTTTCACATAATTCCTAAAAATAATTTAAGTAACTGGCATTTTTAATGGAATTTTGATTTATTTTAGCACAAATAGATGTAAATTAGAGAAAGTCCCAATTTGAAAATATTACTTTTTTTGATGTGTTACACTCAAAATATAGAAACAATACAACCAACATTAAAAACTGTACTTGCATTGTAGACTTGGTTGGAAAATTGTAGTGAATGGATGGAATCTACTGCATGATAAAGTGATACGGATACCATTTAATTGTTATCAATAAGAAATTTACTTATTTAAAAGACTATAAATGCTATCACTGCACAAAAAATTAATGGATTTATTTACAGTTGTTGAAACTTGTCCACCAAATAGTTTGACTTCCTTTAATGTGTTGTCATTATATTTACATTAATAAATTCACAAACTATTGAAAGTGGGAACATACTTGGTAATATCGGATTCTGTCACCTGTTTTTCCATTCATGTATATGTACATTTTGACCACATAGTTATTTTTAACAAATTAACACCACAAACCATAAATAATGAAAAGAAGAGCCAGGCATAGTGGCAAATTAAGTCTTTAGATTTTAACTTCAATTTCTTGATTTAACATATTCTAACAGAAAGTGGAAGAAAAGCCAGTTTGTTGTTTTGAAACTTGTACTTAGAGAAATCCTAAGTTTTTATGGTAAAGAGATTATTCTTCCAAACCGACATGTCTATCAAGTAAAATGTATCCACTTTAATCTCATAATAAAGTCAGTAGAGTAATCAGTTTACAACCTGGTAGCTTGGTAACATTCACTATACTGTTTTGCAGCTCTGAATTTGCCATGACAAGCTGAATAGACAGTAGTAAAAAGTTAGCTGAGCTAAACAAAACAGTACAAAACACAAATGGTCAGTACAGCAAAGAAATAGAGGCAAAGAAAAGGTACTAAACAGAAATCGAAGACATAAAAATTCTATTGGAAGTATGGGCAGCAGGAGCGAGGATAGAATGTCAGAATTAAAACTCAGACCTGATATAGGTGATCATATACTCAGAGATATCTTCAAAACAAGAGACCATGAAAAATCGATCCAATTAGCTAGGAGGTGCTACAAAGAAGACCAGCCTAATATTAATTGGAATTAGTGAAAAATCAGAAGACACCACAAATGGAATAAAAAAAACTGCTTATAGAAATAATAGCAGACTTTGTCTCCTGACGGTGCTCGGCAGTGGTGGTGGGAGGATTCTTACTGGCAAAGGTGATGACATACCCATCTGTGACCACATCCCAACAGTGAACCTACTTTCTCACCCCAGAGCAACCAGGATGGATGTGACCTTGTCCATGGTTAGAAAACAAAAAGTTCTCTGAGATCCAACCCAGAATCACATGGTGCTTCTTGTTGACACATCCTGTTAGTCTTCTTTAATTAGAAGTAGTTCCTCATCTTTGTCTTTCATGAAGTTGCCAGTTTTGAAGAGCCAGTTATTTACTAGAGACAGGGTCTTGCCTTGTTGTACAGACTGGCCTTATACTCCTAGACTCAAGTTATCCTCCTGCCTCAGCTTCCTGAGTATCTGGAACTACAGATCTCAACTCTGTTTTCCAGAACAGGAGAAAATTATGGAGTACCAGCTTCAGGAGATACCTGTGTCATTCAAAGATGTGACTGTGGGTGTCACCCAAGAGTGGCACTGGCTGAATCCTGCACAGACGGACCTGTAAC